TCATACCAATGTCACTGTTAGTACTAATACGCAGGTACACCAGTAAGACAACCTGCCCCAAAACGGACAATATCTATAACAGATTTTCACTTAATATGCGACTTTATGGTAAAGTACTAAAGTTAAAAATCTATGTACCTATTTTGTCTATGTAAACGTGGTACCTGGATGACCGAGTTTTGATCAGGGTTCTTTTAATTAAACGATAATTTCTGAAAGTTAAATCTGTCTATTGTTGCCTGTTAATGTCTGAAAGTTAGCTACATCGAACTATCGCCCTCAAAACCACTGAAGTACAAAACTTCAAGAAAACTGTTGGAGCCGCTTCCGAGATCGTTGAATCATGTAAAATTCCTCGCTTTAGCTATTAGAATAAAATTGACAATTGTTTGGAGTAAGTGATTTGACTTATTGTTTGAATGGTGATAGTTGCAAGCGATAACTTCAAATCTACTCTGATTCCGGAACAAGGATTATTACGTGTTTATCTATGTGCGTGTTGTACATACAGAATAACAGTTATTAGCTCATTGTGTTGTACATACATAGTACTGTGTTATGTAAACAAAGCACAAATCTTTGTAAAATAGTGTTTTATTGTTTGTTTTCAATCAATATTTGGGTTGGAAACCGGATATCAGGACTTCGAATACAACTTAGGTTTTATGATCGCTTGAACATTTTGCAAAGTCTTGTTTGAATGACCATCATTCATGCGTACATGTATCGTGAACACTAGTACCTACACCCACGTTTATACCTAAAACAGATATACACGAGGTATTCTAGTCTATGCACTGAATAACTTTACATAATATAAATAACACGTTCTACGTTCATTCATATACGAGTTGTAGACTAATGAATGAGATACATTTACATTGATAGATAAACGAGACGAAGCCTAAAGCATCTTGTTCTCCGAAGAGTCATACAGAAGTATGTAGACAACTAAGTAATTCGTTAACAAAGGTTGAAATTCAATACTAAATATGATGAGGTGCCTGTTTTCTACATTGCATTTACAGCTTCTTATCGTCAGCTATATCTTAGTCCTATTCATCATTTTCTTTATGTGGAGGAGGCAAACGAGCAGACGGATCATCTCCTGGTAAGCGATCAGCGCTGCCCATGGACACCTGCACCACTAGAATAACCAACACCTAAAAAGGAATACTCTCTTTTCTTGAAGGTTTGAAGCCCGTATCGGTTCGGAAATACCACCGACGACAGATCACTCCACAGTTTTGCTGTGCGAGGCAGAAAGCTACGTGAGAAAGCTATATAATGGGGATGCATATGCTGTCGTGGAGATGGAAGAAGGGGCAGGTATCAGGGATAACAGTATTATCCTGATGAGTATCAGCCTATAACTCCCTACTGCTGGAATAGTCCAGCTAGCTATGGGTCTTCTCTACATAACAGGAGCTTGCTATAATCTCCTTAGTCACATTAACTAATGGATATTATAGCCTAGTTAAAGTGTAAGTAAATTATCTTCAAAACACCGGGCACTAATAAATTACTATTAAAACTTCTGTTACACTACAGTCGGCATACTCCGAACTATATAGTAACAACCAGTTGAATGTCGAAGTATCCTCAAAAAGAGATAAAAAAAATACTTAACTCAATGCAATTCTGCGAATCCGGAATATGATTTTATCCATCTATATCTGACCTCTAGATTCAGATCATATAATAACAGTTTACATAACAATTTACATTTTAATTATAACATTAAACAATTCAGTTTATACTTAGATATTGTACATACATATGTAGGCGGTCGAACAAACGATCATTAGTTTCACGGACATCTAACAGCTGGATGCAATAGTAATAAAACTTGATTTATTGCAACAATCATAATATGATTACAAAGGCATTAGAATGTTAACAAATTATAGGTTCTTATGTATTACATCTGACGTAAATAATGGTGTTGGGATAATGATGTTATTGTTGGGTACAGTGTAATGTAGGATTCTGCAGTAATCATGTGGCTAGGTTTAACTACGGCCTTATCTAGTAATTTAAAGATTGACATATAAAAGTGTTACTTTGTAACCCATTTTCAAAAATAAATATGATTTATCTTTATCATTTATAATCTCCTTCTTCTTTTTAAGAAAGTATATTTACTAGAAAAAGGAATGAGGTTTTAGTTTTTGATTTTATCTTTACACCTAAACTACAGCATCGATTAAAATTAATTTTCATGTAAGGATAGATAACGGGGTTTCTATTCTGCCTTAGTCCTTGAAACCTAAGATTTGTTTGAAATTACCAGGGCAAAGTCTTATCTGTCCTTCATAAATTAAAACCAATTTGACCATAATATAAGCAAAACAAAATCTTCTCTACCTAAGAAAATACTTTAGGTTTCTTTAACCATACAGAAAAGCATGGCCTTCGCAAGGTTCTTACTTGGGACCAACATTGTTTGTGATGCAAGACCGTTTGTCCTTAGGCCATCGTGACCAAGTAGGAACTGTTTGATTTTATGATACTTGATCTATCTATCACCAAATTCACCGCACGATTGACCTCCGCCTGTCCACAGTATAACTTGTTTGACATGCCCATTGTACTTATTGATATTTGTGATAGTTTATCATGTTGTTATATCTTTGAAAGAGGGCCTTACTTTATAATTACTGCCAATAAACCGAGTAGTGGAGCTTTAAACACGTGCTTATCGACATGGATCGCCAGTGGTTCTTAAGAGCTATGACATTTTTGTTTAAAAACCTAACCTGAATCGTGTTAGAAGAAAAAAGTTAGAGATAGAAAACTTGTTTATTTGCTAAAACAAGTATTTTACGCATCAAAAGAGGAGTTTGCAGTTTCATGGATCAACCCTTTGTGATATCGAAAAAGCAACCATGAGGGAATTGAATCTAGAATCTGAAGTTCAGTGGTATTACTTACGACTACGCAACCAATAAGACACTTCTGTCGTGCTATGTTTAATGTCGTGACTACAGCTCATATAACGAATATCTATGCCACCAAATATTGAAGCGACATTTTTATTCTAAGGTCAGTTCGGTGATTTTTCTTATAATCAGCCTTGAACTACTCGTGATCACGACATAAGCTGATACACTTGTCATAATTATCTTTTGTATTAAATGCCAGCTTTTTTGTCACCTGAGTCTGGTTTATTATTAGGATTAAGGTTTAGGATAAGAAGGCTTAAGGATACATTGTCTGCTTTGTAAGTATTTTAGTAATCCTTTAGACAGAGATGGTCACAATAGCCTTTATATGTGTTAAACATGTTCTAAGATTCTGTTAGGTCTGGTTCTGTATCCACCTTAACAAAAGTATCGGAACATTTGAAGTGTGATCTTTATTTCATTTTACCAATAAAACAAATGTCACCACAACATTTCTTTATGGTTTAAGACGCCTGTTATTCATGCATGAGAGTGCGAGTTCGAAACCTAACAATGGCAAGTACCAATGTGACCTTTTTCGAGTTATGTATTTTCTAAGATTATGGGCTTACAATTTGTAATTATAGGTTTAAGATCGCCAACCCGCATTGAACAAACGTGGTGATTAATGTTCAAACCTACTCCGTGTGAGAAGATGCTTTGCTCAGCAGTGGGCATTTATAGGCTTTTGATGATGATGAAGATGATGAATAAATGAAAATATTATACTAAACAAAATTTTACAGTGGCACCTGAATCCAAATCGAGATTACTCTTACTCTTACTTATTAAATCTACTCTTCATATGAAACTGGGTCAAAGATAATCAAACTCGAAACAAACCAAAACCCAAGAGACACAACTAATGAACCACCTAAGTTTGAACCATGTTTAAACAAACAGTACTAGAAGTTCCGACAATGTGCCAACCAATAACAAATGAAATATGTTTCCAGGAAATGTCAAAACTCCTGACACCAAGGTTTACTATGAAGTGGTTACTGGCCAGTAAGGTGGAAAGCTAGCGTCACGCCCCAGTACTCACTTGCATTGTTAATATACAGTACAGCAACTATCACGCATTTCTCAGTACCGTTGTGTAAAATGTCGGTGGGTGTTGCCGAAATTACTTAAGTAGTTTTTTGGAGGTACCTTTTTAAATTCTTTTACCATTAAGATTGCAAGAATAAGAGAAGATTAATGTTATTTTTTGTTATATTTATTCTGATGTGTATGGATGGATTGTATCTTTCGAATATCATAAATTATGATATGAATTTGAAATTGAATATGAATTGAAAGTAATAATAGTTTTGTACGTTTTTATGGATCTTATAAGATTATCAATCTGTGATTTATTTTCATAATTATTTTAACTATGGTTAATTTACAATCAGTTTAAGACAAACATAAAAGAAGTAGTTGTTTTATTAAAAACAATGAGAAATATCAAGATCTTGGTTCATTCAGCTTGTAGTCGGTCGTGAGTGAAATAAGGTCACTGTCGCACTCTCGCAGTGTCCGGTCGTAGTTTGATGTCGTAACCATCGCCACGTGGTGAACAGCTTGCTACCACTTTCTTATATTTAATGAAGACTTGGGTTTTTTGCTACAATATACGAAATTTTACGAATAGACTTTTTTTAATAAATTACATTCTCGGTGAATTGATATAACTACAGTTCGTCGTACTTTATACCTAGGCATCGACGAAATAAAATAATAAAAATATTATTTTTATTCTTATACACTTTCGAAAAGATTGGAGGGAAGGCCACATACCGATCGATACAGCGTGAATCTAGATAAAATAAAATTGTATTTTTTACGCAAAATTAATCTGAACTGTTAGCGAGAAGTGATCCGCATGTTCTAAAAGTACAACCAGTTGCAAATGATGGACAGTTCTCTAAGTTCTCAGACACCTATTATACTGCGATCTCTGGGCCTGGTCAGACCACGCCTGCCAAACATCATCACATTTTCTGGCTGGTACTTTGATTTCAAATCGTGAACGGAGTTGTACTTACAATCTTAAACAAATGTGTTACTTACGTGAACTCCATACGAATACGTGTACTTGGGGTGTGAGTCAAATTGGTCGTACGCCACCTTCAGGTCAGGATCCCTGGTGTAGTGCGCCAGGCTCAGGGGACTGCCCTTCACCGTGTGTATCTTCTGAAACTTGAATGGCTCCGGCTTCTTCTCAGCTTTAAGAGTCTGCACCTCAAAATCTGTAGGCCTTGTTTTATCCTCGTCTGAGAAGAACAGCTTGTTTGCATGGGGCTTGTAAAGATTGAAATCGTGATTCAAAGGTTTGAACTGGTTTTTGTTAATATAATTTTGTAATTTATAATTTTCACTTTTGGTGAGTGGAGCATTTCCAGTGTAGAATTGCGATTGCATTAGCTTATGGATTGCTTTGTTTCTTTCGTGCTGGGGTAGCTTAGTGTCTGGATCATCTAAGTATGCTATTAATGCATCTTCTAAGTTCTTGTACGTGCTATAAGCATACTCTGGCTGTTTAGCTCCCGGACCTGTGTCGTCGTATTTGTTCTCAATGGCAAATTTGATTTGTGACTCCGATGCTGCGTGAACTTTCTTGAATGGTGATGTATACCGATATGGACTCGCGTCCTGCCATGAAGTAGCTGATGACAGCACGAATATGAAGGGTACCTGTGGACAATTTCATCCATTATAGTGCTAGTAGATTATTTATTGTAGAGTACAATTATTCCAATTGTTGTTCGGTTCATAAATCAAGGTGAAGGTGACATTTATCTTTTACGCGATCTTGCCAAATTAAATTAGTCTTTTCACATAGCCGAAACAAATGTCTGAGTAACAGGATTCACACCATTGTTGGTCAAGGTTCGGCCAGTGATGTCCTCTAAATTAGCATAATTATGTGTTAAATTGGCTATGATCGTCTGGTTCACATGGTCATGCATCGACCGACATTTTGTTAATTACTGCTTATTGAACGAAAGAACAAGTAGCTGTGTTGTTATTTTCGAAACCGGTAACTTATTGTTTGCTATATGGAGCAGTTTACATTGCGTGGTCAGTGATCGTGTTAGGTAACCGACTGCTTTTTGCATTTGTATCCAATTATCACATTGTTGGTTTCCAGTTATTATTCATTCACTTCATTAGACTAATTTTTTAGACATATGGTTAATTACATAATACGATTAGTACCGTATTATTGTGGGTTCTGCTCCGATTAATACGAATGAATTCAGATGACTCAATGCGAATTGAGTGCAAATCATTTAGTTTTTACTTAAAAATAATGGATATTAAAAAATTTTTGTTTCAAATAGTAATGTTTGATGAAATCTTTTTGAAATCAACCAGAATCAGAGCAAAAGCCGAGTGCATAAACCCCATTAAAACCGCAACTTTCTAGTGCCTTGTAGTATTAGTAAAATGTAGTGCCATAAAGCGGATAGCACCATCAACTACTTGAATACTAACTCTCGGAAGGAAATAGTGCGTGGTTAATATTGCGTAAGGTTCCGTGAATCGATGTTTGCCTAAGTATTTTTATCACAGATCACTGAGACTTTGAGACATTATTATAATATAAGAACCTACGATTGATTCATGTTTGGGAGTAGGCTTGATCTAGGATGGTAATTTGGTGCTTCACATAATCTTTCATCAAACTGTTTGAGAGCACAAAGTAACAATATGAATAGGCTCCTATTCCATCGATTCTAACGTACTTTTCAGAGGCTTTATGCAAAGGAGATCTAATCTGATTTGAGATGTATAGAAGTTTAAACCCAGTACTACCACTTTTGCCCGATTATCCAAACCGAATATTATTCTTAATAAAGCCTACCTAGGTACTTAATCTTCAAAATGATGAACATATTACAAAACGTGCGTGTAGTCTGTTGTGTAAGTGACGTTCATAAATCAATTCGCGTTAAGTATACTATGTAAGTACGTAATAAATTTTATTACCAGTAGTTAATGTACTCGGTAATTCAGTTAGGTACTGTTGAAACAAAGTCTCATCCCAATTATTGAACTATAGTTTCTGAGTGCGAAATCTCGACGTGTATTAACGGAATAACGATACATTGTTTGGAGTTGAATGGTTCATTGTGTTGCAAACAAGTTTCTCTACAAACAAATTGTTTCAAAAGTCAAGTAGCCGTAACAAGGAATATAGGTTGGTTTTTTAATTTATCCACAATAATGTTCGAAGGTCAAAATATAAAGCGAATGTAATTTTCTTAAATGATTAGGAGAGCAGAGTCAGTGATAATTTTCTTGCAAGGAAATCAAAGAGTAATGATTGTAGGTAATAGAAATTACCAAGGGTAATGAAGCTTTCATTATTTTCGCAAGATATAGTAAAGATAACATGATGAAGCGAAAGAGTTTTAACATAAGATCTCTTACTAGTGAAGTTAATATTATTATTGGAATAGAAGAATACTTATATTGCTGCTATATGTTAAAGTGTGGGAGAGCCATGCTTCGGCACGAATGGGCCGGCTCGAGCGGAGTGATACCACAGCCTTACAAGAAAACCGACGTGAAACAACGCTTGCGTTGTATTTCGTCGTGTGAGTGAGGTTATCGGAGGCGCGCCGCGTTTGCATCTCCGATTGGTTGGTTCATTGGAGCTGGCCAATGAGAGCGCGGCTCGTTTCGATTGCTTTAAACGGAAAACAAACTCGTACTACTAGAATGTTGTCACATAAGGCCGTAAAGACTTATATGGTAGTTACGTGTAAGTTACGCGTGCAAAACGTGCCATCCCGTGCATGTAGATTTTACGACCATCTCACAACTTGCTAGTTGAGTTTATAGTTTCCTAAGCACGTGATGTGTTATGAAGTCGTGTTTGTTTACACTTTTTCTACGGTAATAACTGTTGTTGTGAACGTATAGTGTTTGTAGATATAGTAACTATGTACTTATTTTGAGTTTTTAAATTCGATTAAAGACAGGCATTAAAGTACTGGGTTCTTCTTTTTTACAAAATTTCGGGTGTGTTAAAGTTATATCGGTTGGCGCGGTGGTTGGGCAACTGGCTGCCGTGCAACGTGTCGCGGGTTCGATTTCCGAACGGAGCATCTCTTTGTGTGATCCACAGATTGTTGTTCCGGGTCTGGGTGTGATGTGTATGTGAACTTGTATGTTTGTATACGCAGATGAGAAACGAGAGTGTGGGGCAACTTTTAAAAATAAAATTGTAAACTTAAATCTTATTACCAATAGCCCGTTTCCCCTGTTTTTATTACCAGTGGATCCGATCCGAACTATACGAAATGTATCCCTAAAACCATATAAAAATATAAATATGGTATCATAAGAAATACATATTTCACACATTTAGCCATCATACGTCAAGTTGTGATCGTGAGACTCGATACAAACAATTTGATTTTAAATCGATATCGTGGGTAAATTGGTAGTAACTATTTGAGCAAAATAAGCTATTGTCCTAGATAAATAATGTTAGGTAATTTTATCCATCATTATTCGTGAACTAGTCGGGACCGATGACAATATAATTCTAGATAATTTTATCTAAAGAATTTTAGAAGCAGGTATATGGTTACACAATTATCCCGTGCATTTATTCTATTGTAATGGTTGATGAAATTACGTACATGACTTCGTACAGAGTTTGTTCTCCGAATTTTTGGTCCCCAAAATAAGATCAATTATTACGGTAGTAGTTAGGGGAAATGAGCAATGTAACTAGTCATTTTGCTTCTCGCAAAAGTATACAACAGATTAATAGAACTTTGGATAACGAGTGTAAATATAAATTCATAAGTTCAATACAAAGTATACTAGGTAATATTATTTATTTAGGAAATACCTATAACCTATATAAAAGTCTGGGAGAGCCATGCTTCGGCACGAATGGGCCGGCTCGACCGGAGTGATACCACGGCCTCACAGAGAACCGACGTGAAGCAACGCTTGCGTTGTGTTTCGTCGTATAAGTGAGGTTGAGGTTGTAGTTAGTCCCCGTCTCGCGAATCCCCGAATCCTCCACAATCCTCAAATTCCCAATTCCCAAAAGGCCGGTAACGCACTTGTAATGCCTTGGTGTTTCGAGTGTCCATGGGCGACGCCGATTGCTTACCATCAGGTGATCCTTACTTGTTGGTTACGATTTCATCACATGCGAACATAAGAACGAATTAGAACCTAAATGAACAATTTTGACTAATTTATTAGCCGATTAATTGTCAGATAAATACACCTAAATTAAATGCGATTAATCGCCAATCGATCACCGATACTCGGTGTTAATTAGGACTCATTGCCGATTATGATTTTCTAATACTTCTAATTTCCATGCATGATGTAATTATACCTGTCCTCGTCCTGAAATTTGTATTTGAATAATAACTACTTAATACATAAACTTAAATACTAACTTAATAAATACCTTTGACTGTATTACATGATGTCTTCCTTTCAAAGCCTTTATTAGGCTATTAATCACCGGTTCTTATAATGAGTTGTTTACTATAAATCACTATAAGTGATCAGTTATTTGGTGATTATTTATTATACTTTTTATTTATGTCTATTTTTATAACGATTTTCAGTGAACTTATCGTTGATGCTCAATGTTATGTGGATAAATTAATAGGTGCTTAACTAAGCAAAGCAACCTCTTTTCACTGGACAATCTGCAAGCCGATGGGAGGATTTCAGTAGTGTCTTGACGCTATCATGATGTTGATAATTGAGAAACTTTAACAAATTTATTTAATAAAAATGTCACTGAATGCAACTGTATAGTTAGTTAATTTTTCATACCCAGTAGATAGGAAACTCAAAAAGGCTAATATCAAAAGTTTAAAAAATTAATGCACTTTTCGATTTCATTACAATATCGATTACAATATTATTTTGGTCTCTACAATGCCAAATATTTAATTCTGCGTACAAACAACTAGTTTACCTTTAATATCATCTCAGGACGTGGGTTATTGTTATAAGAGGTATTTTTTAGTGATTATATTTATTGGTGTATGGGGGACAACCAGCTCGTTACGTTGTGGCCGAGCAGTGGATGAATGTGGAACAAGGATGATGCGAAAATACCAAGCGATCGTCGATTGGCCCAATTGGAGCAAAATATTTTAATCAATTGTCGCTGAATAAATCCTTTTTGTAATTGAACTGATGATGTTGTATGTCGCATTTAATGAGTTTAATTATACTTTTAATTAACATTCTAGCATTTTATGTCGCCTTTTAATCAAGTGGATGACTGACATATATAAGATTTACAATTTTGTAATATAAATATATAAATAAATATATAAATATAAATCTTTATTCATAATAACAATGGCCAACATAGGTAAAAAACAATATCTTAGTTAAGCGACAAGATCTTAAAAAGTAATATGCCTGTACTTTGTAATTGCTAAGGTTTAGTAGCTTAATTAGTTAAGTACTAATAATGTAAATATAAAATATATATTAAACTTTTGCAGCACTGACATATACGTTATTTTATGATGTACAGTCGAATTGAAAGTAGGTTAACAGCTAACAATTTGGTTTAAAATTTTATTTCATTTCATTAAAAAATCATGTTAAGTTATTCTCCTGTGTCTGGGTCCGTTAATTGTTCTAGTATTTAATTTAGTTACTTATTTTTAAATTGTACCTATATATATTGTAAAGGCAGGTTAGGGCAGGCAGTCTTACCCGACAATCAGAAGTTACCACAAAATATTAATTTCACATCGACAGATAGAGGGCACCAGAGGCTTTCCTCTTCTCACCCGAAGAAGGTTTGAGCATTAATCACCACCACGCTTGCTTAATATGGGTTGGTAAGTATTATTTACTGCAAGTTAAATATAGAACTTAAAATCACAATACAACCATAACATAACAATGATATGACAAACATAAACTTTCACTGACAGCGACGCAAGCGCAGATTTTCTAAATAACGTAATCGCTGACAACGGCGTAAGCGCAAGCGTAACGGTCAAGAATGAGCGAATTATAGGTGAATGTGGATCAAGGTGTGAGATGTCTTCGCCTTGTGCCCACCTTGTGCCCTACTTCCGAATGTAACCGAGATGGAATTGAAGTGCGTGCATAATTTTTAATGCGACTGTACTTTTTATTATTGTTGTGTTCTGACGACCTCGTTGATTTTAAAAGATTAATTTTTTTGAGGATCCTCGTGGATTTATGTAATCGATTTTTATAAATTAGATAATATTTAAAATTTCAGTTATTAATTAAGTAAATTAGTGTAATTTGAAAATAGTAGAGGTCTTGTCGAATGGTTAATGTGAGAAAGCCGTGCCTATATTTCGATTCCATAATATTTTTAGGTATCATCCTATTACATTATGACAGGTCTTATTGCTATCATCTTTATAAAATCACCCCCAGTGTATCCATTAGCCAATTAAATAATAACGAGTTCGATGCCAAGTTGCGACACCATGTCACCAAGTACTGATATTTCAGATGAGTATTATTCGAGAAAGCTGCTCTTATTACCGGTTCTTAAAAGTAAAACTCTTTCATAACTGAGTACTTAGGTAATTATAATATAAGTTGAGATTTTATGCAGATGCCATTATATAAAACCAAATGATTAATAAGAGTAATCACGCAATGATTTAAATTAACTGAATTGACCGCCTTTTTAGTTGTTGGTTGCAAGTAATTGATAAGAAGTTCTGAGATCAGTTCTTCCTGGGTACAGTTCTAGACTTTTAAAGCCAAGGACACATGTGTCCCAAGACACGTATCGGCGACATATCGAGCGAAGCTGGCCGATGTCGCCTGACATATACGATGACAAGGCGCAACTTATGTCCACAGCGATGGTGGTTTTGCCGGACATGTCAACTAAAGTCCAGCAACGTTGCACTACTTCACCCGAACTCGCTAGCGACAGGTGTCGCAAGTCATTTGTTCCTTGGTGTGTCCTTAGGTTTAAACTGTCAAACACCAAGCGGTCACCGGTGACCGCTTGGTGTTTGACAGTTTAATGGAGTCTGTACCTAGAGTATAACAATGGAGCCGGCCACGAAGATCCCTTTTACAAACTTTTATATCATAATTGCTTACGTTGGGCTATTATGTGATATTATTAGGTATCACTGAATATAGGAAACACCATATTTCAGGCACAACACTTAAAAAATGCCTAATATGAGAATCCATAGACTTTGAGATGTAGTGAATGTAAAACTAGTCTGCCTACAGCATTTAATTTTGAATAATTTTTGTTTTAAATAAATGATAAATTTTATAATAAAAAATCTAAACATACCTACATACATACATAATAACATACATTGTTATCTAATTAACTTTTTGCATGCTTAAGTAAGTGCTTTGTAGCGAATATTACAGTTATAGTTATTACATTATTATACTGAACTACAAAATAAAAAATTTAAATCTTGTCTCTTAAAAAATGTATAATCTTTATTTTGCAAAAAAATTCAACCCTTTTTGCTTTTTTTAACCAAATTTAAACGCATAATAAACAAAATCTCACCACGTATTGTAACATGTTCACTGCAACAGCCTCCAGTAAATAAATTAGAACACAACAATTATTAACAAACACTAGAATGTCCTAAAAAGTCTTCCACATGTCCAAATTACATCGATCTACAACACGATCAATTCGTTCTTAATTTGAATGTAAACACGCGAGCGCGTTGCGCGAACGCAGCCTGCAGAATGACGACAATCAACGACTCTTGCGCATATCAATCCGACGACTTCTTACTGCTATTGTTTTGCTTCTAGACATTGATTAGAGGAAATAGTTACAGGTTCATTTTTCGACGACTCTATGGTTTTTTTTTAAGGGGGGAAAATCATCGAATGACTGCTCCCGCCTGGGTGAGGCGGGAGGGAGTGCCAGACTAAAACCTTACTGACTAAAAACCACCCCGTTCTTTCTCTTGCACGTCGGACCGGAGCCCCGGATACCCGTTAGGTTCTCCGCGACATGACTCTATGGTTAGTTTCCCATGTTGGATAAAATGTGACGATATGTTACTTCTTGTCAAGTGCAGAAGTCAACACGAGGGATCTTCTTTTAGGGCTACAAGAATGTTTGAAAGTTGATAGTAGAAATTTTCTCCTAATAGCAATGTACTATTGATATAATAATCTAATGCATTTATTGGCCCATACTGGTTCCTCATAAAAATATCTAGTTCTGAATTCCTAGATAACGTGGTATGGTAATTTATCTTAAAAGCAGTTTTATTGGTTAACTAGATCCTTGATATTTACGAAACTTGTTAATCGATGTAAATTCAATCTGTAAAAATAAGAGCACAACTTTGTACGTGAAGAAATTTCGCCTTAGGTGATAGGTAATATTGGGAAATGTAGAATCCCGCGATTGATTACTCTTGGTTATTAAAGTCCGAAGATTTATTTATCTATATTTATAAATATTCAAAATATTGCTTCACTAATAATATAGCTATTCGGATTATTGTGACTGCAGAGCAACGTAAAAATCATCCAATGTCTTTTCCTTGAATATAAATTGAATTGTAATATCGTAATTGTAATTGAATGTATTGTAATTGATTATGTCATGGTTTTTTTTCTTAGGGGGTGGGGGGGAATCATCGAATGACTGCTCCCGCCTGGGTGAGACGATAGGGAGTGTCATTCTTACTGACTAAAAACCACCCCGTTCCTTCTCCTGCACGTCGAGCCGGAGCTCCGTAACCCGTTAGGTTCTCATTTTTCATGGTTAAGTTCATAATAGTTACTTACATATAACTTTAAAATGATTATACAAATTGTATTGTAGTGTCCAACAATTCATATTCATACGAAAGCATAGAAATAACATGAAACTTCAAACTTAATCGACATACTATTTGTTACACTCACAAGTCAATAATCATGATCAATTACAGCAAGAAAATAAGTAAACAAAACATTGCGAGAAATCATTCAATTCTCATTTCCAAGCGAATGGACACCCATCCGATCATTGTCCAGTCCTCAATGAAATTGCTTAACTTCATTCAGGTCACCGGTACTCGACGAAATCTATCATACGGAAGAAACCAATTGTCTTGGCCAAACTATTACCTGTACACTCTATTGTTAAAGCCATAGGGTATAATTTGCAACGTTAAGTAATTTGGTGTGGCCGTAACCTTGGATTAGAAGGTGATTGATTTCTGTATCCGTCTATATTGTCTGATTGTTTTCCTTCCGTGTTAGTTTTTTTGGTTTCAATCGTGGGAAATTGCTGTTTTAAGAAATATTTAGTTAAGATAATATGCTTGCTTGGAACCTTTAGGCACTATTGATTTTAAAGGTACCTACTGTTAGACATGCTCTAAAATAGCAAAGTCAAAGTCAAAGCATTTATTTCAATTAAACCATATAGTTATGCCATAAAAAAATATTTTGGTACTTTTGAAACGTCAACAAATACAAAATAAATAATAGTCTGTCAGTCAGTCCGTCAGTGAAGCTAGGTGAAGCTAGATGCTCATTCTAAAATGTAGATTCGAATAGGGAAGAACGAGCAAGAAACTACATTGGTTACTCTTTTTAAAAAAATACTAAAGATTGTCTATTGAGCAACGAGGATGCTAAAAAATGTGCATAAATCGAACACCATGTCAATTCGCAAATATGCCTAAAATGAGCATGCTAATTTTGAGCAAAATTCCCACACATGCTACTAAGACCTCAATTAAAGTATGCTTTGGTGCTTAAATTTTGCATGTGTAACAGTTCCTTAAGACCTGTTTACATCTTGCCAAACTGGAAACTGTAATAGGGAAACCATATTTTCATGTTTTTTTCATGACTCTTATAATACATAAATGTATATAATGTAGGTATCTAATACCGTATTGCTCAATCGAAACTATTATAGTTACAGTGTTAACATAATAATTAAACCATGATATCTGTTAGCCTTGACTAACCTCGTGCCGTAAGAATTAATCAAATCAAACAATAGGCTTAACGAACAGATTACATACTGAGGTACCTACGTAGGTACCAAATTTTGACCTACGTAAGTAAAGGTGCTTTCTGGTTTAAGAACAGCTCGGCTAATTAATTATTATGTTTTCGGTTTACTGACATAACTCTTTGACGAGGAACTCGACTAGTTTCAAGTCATGGTAGAGGCTCGTATTAGTCATATTCATGAGTAGCACTCCGCGACCAGAGACGCGGCATAATATAGGTACGGTTAGTATGTCTCACGAAAGTTTTTAGCTCAGCTATTCTATCTTTGAATTTTCGAAGTGAGCTCGCTCGCGATCTCGCTCGTCATTGGTCGAGATTATTCTCACAACCAATGACATGGTGGACCGTCATCGAGTTCACTTCGGGCTCTCAAATTGAAATTTACAGAATATCTTAGCAGGTGTGCTAATAAATTTGATGGGGGAAATGTAGATGAGTTTCCCTGCGATACATAACATTATTTACGCATAATTATTTTTAACTGAATTACAAAATCAAGGAGATAGATAATAAATGTTACCTTGTAATAGGAATAAAATATAATTAATACAAATTACAAATGTTGATTAATATCTGATTTATTCATCAAGGAGGTTCTGTTCTCAGGAATGCAGAAACAATGATTTCAAGGTATTATGTCCTTATGCAGTTATTTACGTGCCAATATTCCTTCAACGTTATCATTAATTTCTTTTGCTGTTGGCCTTCACATAGATTTGCTTTTGTTACGCCTATTGGAAGGTATCTACTATCTAGTTTATTGGTATATCCCTATCGTTACAAGGTCTATGTGGTAGATGACTGACTTGAATACATAACTATATAGCCTTTGTTGGAATAAAGTGCAACAAAATGTTATGGAATATGACACGCATCTCACATGCGCAGCACTAACTATGCAAATAAAATAAAGGTTATCAACCCCGTGCACTTTTTAAGGTTTTTGCTTAAAAACTCAGGTATGTATCGTAATTTAATTTGTTATGGCATAAGCTGGTAAACGAGCAGACGGATCACCTGATGGTAAGCAATCGGCGTCGCCCATGGACACCTGGAACACCAGAGGCGTTACAAGTAGGTACCTACGCTACCGGCCTTTTGGGGATTAGGAGTTTGAGGATCGTTGGGATTCGGGAATCGGGGAGATTTGAGAAGGGAACGGTAATTGGGCCTCCGGTAACCTCAATCACACGACGAAACATAACACAAGCGTTGCTTCACGTCGGTTTTCTGTGAGGTCGTGGTATCACTCCAGTCGAGCCGGCCCATTCGTGCCGAAGCATGGTTCTCCCACACTTAAATTTCGTGATTTCCATGTCGTAATATTGATTGCTACTTTCAGATAAAGAAAACAAGGGTTGCAGTGCCGGCTACACGACTAGACGTGACAGATATATCTAATATAGAGATACGACTAGTAGGTACTTATTTTATGCCAAAACTGCTTAGCTAAACAAAATAAGTGGTCGTGAACTCGTGATGCTACAAACTTTCTAATTCTTCCATGAAGTGTGTAATAATAAATTAATACCTAAGTATAATGCAAATAAGAGTTATAAGGTAGCTGGTATTAAGGTAATATTGTCATTAGGTGTAACCACAGGATATTTTAGAATACCTATGTAATGACTTCGTAGTCGTAATCGAAAGCTAGCCGATTGATTTCTATTGGTTTCGCTATCTCATTAGGTGGGTTAGGACTTGCTAAGGAACGTGTGTTTATTTATCTGTAGATACAAAATACAAATGCTTAATTGCGTTCGACAATGTTTAACTTAGGTGGTAACATAGAATATGTTACTTACATAATTTCTTAACGATCCAAGTTCAGCCGCAGCTCCTCTGTGAGACTTTTCTACACAACATAATCTAAAGAATTCATAGGACAGTGTGTTCAAAAAAAATGCTGGCTACATAAAAGTGTACAACAAAAACATCTCACACAAGAATGTCTCATTTTGGGGAAAAAATCGTCTAATTTTATCGGTAGCCGTGCGAGGAGGGGGGTGGGGGGGCGTCCGATCCATCACGGCCCCTGTCACATGCCATTAGCAAGGCCTACGGGGTACGGGCTGAAGTAAGTACTGGAGGTACCAACTGCACGTTTGGTAAAATTTTATGATCTTAAAATATTATGCTTTTGTCCATAACTTCGTCTGAGACGTAGCTTATATTATTTTATGAATGCCATTATAACTGTGTGTAGATCTTCTAATCTCTAGTACAGAGATACTAAGAATATCTTAGATATGTATAGAATATTTTTTTCTGTCCACTTTGTCTTTCCAAATTGGAATAGATTTATTGGGAAACCGAAATAGAGTATTCTTAATGATATACAGGATAAAATCATTAGACAGTCACATATTCAGGGTTAGAACCTGCTATTATTTATCTCCATATTACAATTCAATGAAATATATTCGGTAAAAGGTAGACAGACCGATATGGATAGATAAAATTTTGCATTAAAATTTAATTATTAGGTACTGATACTGTCTAATTAGGTACACAGACCACCGTAGACCTCGCTGTAGGTGTAGCTAGCAGCTACATATTTATCTTACAGCTTTTAAACTACTATAATTATTACAAATACTTATCTATACATTCACCAGTTATATCTCGTCGAAGAGAAACTAAAGTCATATTTATTTGACAGCTTATTTGCGCAATTTGCGAAAATAGTTGATACCTACACTGTCAAATGGTAAACGATCTACAAT